ACGAGTACATATTTGTTACTTGCTAATAACTTTGAATTAACAATATATAATATTTCTAATGTAAAAAGAAAAATGCTTATGGTAGAGTGTCCGAGAAGTGTCGGTATCGACTCGTGTCGGACACGAACACGCTATCCTAATTGAAGTGTCCGCGCTACAGAGCTTCCTTGTAAACATCTCTAGCATCATTATGCCATAGCTGTAGACATCACTGCATATAGATCCCTTCCCTTCTGTATTCTATTTGCATAAGACATTCATCTTTGTATCAGTTGACAAAAAATGACTTTGAGAATAAATAAAAAAATTATAAATTGATAATAAAAAAATCGACAGTGAAAATTACCTGGTGCCATATACTAATTGTGGCCAGGGTGTTGGTTTAAATCTCAGCCTCTTCACTAAAAAGTTTAGCAATAGCAAAATCACCAACACATGCAGTCTTATCTTCATCGAGTAGGACATTGCTAGTCTTTAAATCACAATGAACAATAGGCTTTTCCTGACCATGATGAAGATGTTCTAAAGCTAATGCAACGTCAATGGCTATGTTTAATCTTTGCAGCATATCCAAACAATAGTTGTGGGAATATAACCATTTCCCCAGAGTGCCATTAGGAATGTAGTCAAGTACCAAGGCTTTGAAATCTATGTTGCTGCAGCAACTGACGATTCTATCCAAATGCCAATGACGAACGGTTCTCAATAAGTCACACCCAACCTCAGATCTCTTGATTGCTCATTCAATTCGTAAAGAATTTTGTGGTATCGTTTTTCTCTGTCATTGAAATTGGGCAAAGCCATGAATTTATACAAAGCTAATTCTACCATTCCTTGTTCAGCAAGAATATTTACATAAATAGCAAAGCTAATCTAGGAAACAAATAAATTAATATAGGACAGTATATCAAAGATATACTATCATATATTCCTCTAATACTCCCCCTCAAGTTGGAGCATGGAGATTGCAAATGCCCAACTTGCGAAGAAGTAAAGAAAATTGTGATGTACCAAGGGCTTTGGTCAAAATATCCGCGAGCTGTGCACTAGTCCGAACATGAGACGTAGAAATCGTGCCATCTTGCAAGGCATCACGAATAAAGTGACAATCCATTTCGATATGCTTCGTTCGTTCATGGAAAACCGGATTAGCCGCTATATAGAGAGCAGCTTGACTATCACAAAACAGTCGCATGGGACGCACATGTTGTATCCCAAAACAAGCCAAAAGTGATTTCAACCATTTTAACTCACATGTAGTAGTGGCCATAGACCTATACTCGGCCTCCGCAGAAGATCGAGAAACAGTTGGCTGTTTTTTCGTTTTCCAAGAGACAGGAGAAGAACCTAATAAAACAAAGTAACCAGTCAAAGATCTCCGAGTCAAAGGGCAACTTGCCCAATCACTATCACAGAAGGCATAGAGTTGAAAATTACTCTCCCCGCGCAGCAGAATACCCTGTCCAGGACAACCTTTTAAATACCGCAAAACTCTCAAAGCTGCATCCCAATGTTCAACACGAGGATCACCCATGAACTGAGCTAATATATGGACGGAGTAACACAATTCAGGTCGCGTAATCGTCAAGTAGATGAGGCGCCCTACAAGCCGCCGGTACTTCTCTGGATCAGCAAAGACGGCGCCATTAATGGTGGCAAGATGGTGGTTCTGTTCCATGGGTGTAGAAACAGGGCGGGCGCCAAGTATGCCAGCCTCACTTATAATGTCAAGAACATATTTGCGTTGTGAAAGAAACAAACCATTCTTCCCACGTGCCACTTCAATGCCGAGAAAATACTTGAGAATGCCCAAGTCTTTCATATGAAATCTCTCACCAAGTTGTTGCTTGAATTTTCTGATTGCCAAAGAAGAGGAACCAGTAATGATAAGGTCATCAACATACACAAGAACATGTAGAGCAACATTACCCTTGGAATAACTAAACAGTGAGTAATCAGCATAAGATTGTTGAAAGCCAATTTCCTTCAAAGCAGTTGAGAGCTTAGCAAACCAATTCCGAGGCGCCTGCCGGAGACCATACAAGGACTTACGTAATCGACACACCTTACCCGAAGCAGAGTGAAAACCAGGAGGCAGTTGCATATATACCTCCTCATTAAGATCCCCATGTAGAAAGGCATTATGCACGTCCATCTGGTGTAGTTCCCACTTTCTTGCCACCGCTATAGCCAAAAATGTGCGAACCGTGACCATTTTAGCTACAGGGGCAAATGTTTCAGTAAAGTCAAGGCCGGCAATTTGCCGATTCCCGTACACCACTAAGCGCCCCTTTAATCGTTCAATCGTACCATCAGAGCGGTACTTGACTTTATAGACCCACTTACAACCGATCGCTTTCTTTCCAGGTGGAAGGTCCTCCAAAGTCCAAGTTTCGTTTCTTTCAAGTGCATCGATTTCGTCTTGCATAGCTTTCCGCCAACCAGGATCCTTAACAGCATCTTTAAAAGAGGTGGGTTCAGTTCCTGTAGTAATTGCTGCCAGAAAACGGGTGTGTCTCACAGAAAACTTATCACAATTTACATAATAAGCAATGGGAAAAGGAGTACCTGAGGACTTTGACGGAGCAGAGACAGGTGATGTGACAGGGCTTATAACGCGAACAGTGTTGGTAATGAAACCCTTGAGTTTACTAGAAGGCTTCTTTATTCGATGACCTCGACCAGTTTCACGCAAAACAACGTCTTCATTAACCACAACCTCCCCAGTATTCGAAGTTGCACCAATTTGTTGGACAACGTCCAAGTCGCCACTTGTAGGTGGTGTGAGAACCCCGCCATCAATTTCCCCTACACTACCCGAGTACTCCTCACTCCCCCTTGCTAAGGAAGCATCCTCAAAAGAAGTCATAGTGTCATAATACTTCTTATTGTCAACAACATCATCAGTATTAGGCAAGTAGTCTTTACTGGAAAAAGGAAATTGTTGTTCACAAAAAACAACATCTCGAGATATAAAGAACACTTTTGCCTCTAAGTCATACAAGCGCCACCCCTTTTTACCAAATGGATACCCCACAAACACACATCGACGAGAGCGAGTACCAAACTTATCCTTCACACGAGGTTGATTTTTGACAAAACAAAGACAACCGAAGACACGAAGGACATCATACTTAGGAGGTGAGCCAAAGAGAATTTCATGTGGTGTTTTATGTTGGAGCAAGGGGGTAGGGGTTCGGTTGATGACATAGGCAGCCGTCATGATACTCTCCCCCCAAAAAGAAATGGGAAGATTAGCTTGAAAAAGTAATGCCCGAGCCACATTAAGAATATGCCTATGTTTACGTTCTACCCTCCCGTTTTGTTGTGGAGTGTCAACACAAGATGTTTGATGAATAATACCATTGTCAGTATAAAACCGATGAAGACATGTAAATTCCTTTCCATTATCACTTCGGAGAATTTTAACATGTTTGTCAAATTGAGTTTTAACCATTCGACAAAAATCCTTAATAAGTTGAGGCACCTCAGATTTGGCAGACATCAAATAAACCCATACGGCTCGAGAACAATCATCAACAATAGTTAAAAAATAATGAGCACCACAACTAGCAGGCAAAGTATACGCACCCCATATATCACAATGGATTAAGTCAAAAACAACTTTTGCTCTACTATTACTCAAAGGAAACATGCTTCTAGTTTGCTTGGCTCTTAAACAAATATCACAAGGTTCGTGGAGAACATTAACATCCTTATTTCCATTATTTCTAACAATATCAGGTAAAAGAAAGTCTACTTTTCGAGAAGGGTGTCCCAGCCGTTGATGCCACAATTCTCTATTATCTCCCACAGTTGCTTGATAAGCTTGAAGTTGTCGCAAAGGCCGAAACCAATAAACCCCGTCACATTGCTCACCCGCTCCAATCAGAGTCCTCAAAGCACGGTCCTGTATGATGCAAAGCTTATCAGTAAAAGTGACAAAATAAGAGAGATCGGCAAGCAAGTGAGACACTGACAGCAAATTACAAGTAAGGTCTGGAACATATAACACATTATGGAGCACCATATATTTGTTCAAAGTGATCGTGCCTTCCTTTGTGGCAATGGTTTGTTTTCCATTAGGCAGCCCAACGGAAGTAGGAGAAACATCAAATAATTGGTTAAATAATCTAGCATTACCAGTCATGTGATTCGAGCATCCGGTATCTATGATCCATTCAGCGGAAGAACCAAACTTACCACTCAACTTTTCAGTTGAAGAAGACTGCCCTGTTGAAGTGTTGAGCATGTTCACAAGCGTAGCCCACTGATCATCCGAGAGACCAGGAATGCCACGACGATCTGAATCTTGGACCGGTCCCGGAGCAACATGCCTCGAGGTGGTTGCAGCGTTGGCTACCTGCCCACGGCCTCCTTTGCCAGCACTCTTTCCTCCCCCCCGTCCAGACTTGCCTCCGCCTCTACCTTGCCCCCCATTGGTGCGGTTCTCGGAATACCACCAGTCCGGGTACCCAATTAGTTGAAAACAATTATCCTGTTCATGTCCAGGCTTATTGCAATGAGAGCAGACGCCGTTGGTTCGAGGCCGTTCTTGCCGTCCCCTAGCAGCCCCTTGCGCCGCGAAACCGACAACGTCAGAATTAGTTTCATGGGCACGAGCAACACTTTGGTGACGTTCTTCAGTCACAATTTTAGCAAAGACCGTGTTTAAGCTCGGCAAAGGATCCATCATCAAAATGTTTGAAACAGCCGTGCCATAAAGAGTGGAATCCAAACCAACAAGAAAAGCATGCACCTTTTCATTCTCCTTCTCTTGAGCAAACGTAGTAGCAGCAGCACAAGTGCATGTTGGAACAACAGAATATCCCGCAAGTTCATCCCATAGCTTCCGCAGTTCGTTGTAGTAATTCACTACAGGTTGCCCACGCTGCTTGCAAGCACCTAAAAGGGTCTTCAACTCATGAATTCTCGGACCGTTTCCTATCGAGAAACGTTGTCGAACATCATCCCACATGTCCTTCACATCGTCGGGTTGCGGAACGGAGGAGCGTAGAACTGGATCAAGAGTATTATGAATCCAGCCCACAAGTGTGGAGTTAACTGTCACCCACAAGGACGCTTCTGGAGTTCCTTCCTGTGGCTTGGTTATGGTTCCATCGAGGAAGCCTAGTTTGTTCTTTGCACGAAAATTATTGCGCATCGAACGAACCCATTCATTATAGTTCTCACCACGTAACACAATGGGACAGATTGTGATCTGTGGTCCGTCAGAGGGATGGAGGTAGAAGGGTGATGTGGAGTCAAGAGGTTTGGTGGTCTTGTCGTCACCCATGATCAGAGGACGATAGTCGGATTTCGTGGTGGAAGATCGAAGGTTTCAATCGCTGGAGAAAAAGAAAAGGGTCGTCGTCTCCTGTCTTGGAGAATGCTCTGATACCATAAAGAATTTTGTGGTATCGTTTTTCTCTGTCATTGAAATTGGGCAAAGCCATGAATTTATACAAAGCTAATTCTACCATTCCTTGTTCAGCAAGAATATTTACATAAATAGCAAAGCTAATCTAGGAAACAAATAAATTAATATAGGACAGTATATCAAAGATATACTATCATATATTCCTCTAATAATTCGCAAGTTAAAAACTTTTACTGCAACGACTAACCCATAATACTGAACCAAAACTTCCACTTCCAAGCACATTGATTTCACTAAAGTTGTCTGTTGCTTGCAGAAGATTTTGATAAGAAACCCTTCTCCATTCTAGACCTAATGAATTCTCAGAGTGAGGCCCTTTTCCGCTCAACTTTTGCTTTCTAATTAACAAGAAAATAATGTCTGCTCCAGTGATAACTGATGTGATGGGTACCACGGCATATTTCAGTAATCTCTTTGATGTTGATCTTTTAACTGTCTGAGTTTTGCATAGTGGAACTTGTAGTCGATCTATTATCTATACCACATAATCCATCGTTCTGTACGAGTGATTGAGCAGTAAAGTTCACGAAACGCCCACCTGTTGGAATTTCTCCTTGTAGTTTGTTGTGAGGCAAGTCAAAATACTGGAGATCGCTGAGTGCCTCTAAAGACTTCGGATTGATCCAGGAAAATTATTATGAGAAAGATCTAAATATTCCACGCCTCTTAAGTCTCCCAAAGATTGAGGATGGGACCCTGAAACTTATTATGTGCCAAGGATAGATTAACTGACAGAATGCTGCCAATAGAGCTTGGGATTTCACCTGTAAACTGATTCCATGATAAATCTAGATCTCTGATGGCCTTCAAATTTTGAATATCTGATGGTATATATCCCCTTAACAAGTTTGAGGATAAGTTTAGACCCCAGAGATCCCTAAGGTTCCAGAAGTTTGGTACCTTGGAAGTCAATCTGTTAGATTGTAAGAAGACTCTTCTCAGATATTTTAGTTCTCCCAAGCAAGCAGGTTTTGTTCCATTGAGCATGTTCTCATTTATGTAATAGTCCCCCAAATTGCTTCTCTCTCAAATCTCAGGAGGAATATATCCTTCCAGCCTATTGTGCTTAAGATATATTGCTTCGAGATTTAATTTCGCCATTGTCGATGGAATGACCCCGTCAACTCATTATTATCTAAAATTATGGATTCCAAGCTGCTTAAATTTCCAATTTCACTAGTAATAGGACCCTTGATATTGCATCCAAATGCTCTGAATGTACAAAGGGAAGAGGACAAATTCCCTATAGAAGCTGGGAGGATGCCATGAAACTGATTATTTGATACTTTCACCGTCTCTAAATATCTGCAGTTTGTCAAGGAAGAGATAAATTTCAATTCTTTATTAGGAGATTCCCCTGTAAAATTATTTGCTCCAATGACAAGTCGCCGCAGGAGCCCTAAATCACCAAGAGCTGGTATAGGGCCAGTTATCAAGTTTTGTGTCAAGCTTATGATGGTAAGCTTCGATGCATTGGCAATAGAGCTTGGAATTACTTCTCGAAGGTTATTGTAACCTAAGTAAAGTGTTTCAAGATTTGGGAGTGAAAGTCCCATTTTTGATGGAAGTTTGCCCACGAAGTGATTGGAAGAAAGTTCCAGCATGGTCATTGTTGAGATACTGAAGATAGAAAGTGGGATGGAGCCAAATAAGTCATTTCCATATAGATTGATTTGCAAAAGCTTTAGGTTACCGAATCAGCTGGTAATTCTCCTGGCAAAAATGCAAAGTTTTGTGCATTATTAATTAAGCTAATGTCGTGCATGGATTCTCCATCAAACTATAGTACTTCGGGAGTATTCATCAATATGCGAATTTGTACTGGTAGTAAATTCAAGAACCATCATGTACCTCAGTCAAAAATAACCGCAATCGTTCATTCATGGCTCTTCAGTATGTCTTTGAAGGTAATTTATTTGGTTTTATGCATGAGATAAACGATGACAATAAAATATTTGAGCAACACACATTTAATATAAGGTAGCAGAAGGTGGATCTGTCCAACTTGTTATTTTCTAATATTCCATCTTCTACAACTAGAATATTATTCATAAGAAAGCTGTTAATTCAAACATGCAGTAAACCAGCAAGGATTTTCTTTACGTAACTAAGCAACATAAATGTAAGTAAGAACATAATTTCTGCGGATCTTGTTGCAGGAAAATTATGCCTGTAGAATCTTTCTACCCATTTTACGCTTTGAAATTAAAGCATCTGTTCTTCTTTTAAATCTCGAAGATATGTACTTAATCGCATATTTGTGGATAGGAGTTATAGGTCTCTAAAAGGAACCAGCTTATAATAAGCATGATAAGGAGATACTTTATTTTATAACGAGTTGAAACAGATTTATAAAATTCATTTAAGCAAGAGTGCATTCAAGTGTTACATATATTTTAGGCCTTCCAACTTCACTGCTGCTTTTTTTTTTCTACTTCGTTAATACTACCGTATTATAAAGTAACTGTACAGAAAACAAAGATTCCAAGAACAAGAAAAGGATTTGGAACTTTATAGGAATTGGAAGTTTTATGTCCTCGAAGACATAATTAATAGAAGAAATTAATAATCATGTATGAGGCTAATAATGCAGAATTAAGTTCTATAAGTACCTGACAGGTTGTTATCATCTAAATAGAGATACTCGAGTGAAGTTATATTTCCAACTTGCTTAGGAATGCTGCCTGTGAAGTGGTTATTTTCCAGACGTAAGACCCAAAGCCTTTTGCATTCTAATATGCTGGAAAAGTTTGGCCAGTTAGTTGATTGGATTGGAGAAAAAGCTTCTCAAGATTGGGGAGACCGTAATGAAGGTCCAGCGGCAGGAGGCTTCCATACAGGGTACTGTTTGAATAGTCAGGGAAGACATGTTGAAGATGAAGGATGGACTTTCCCGTGTCTTAGAGCAATCTCTCCTGCTTAATATCTCTAAATGGGTAAGATTGCCTATATCCCTTGGAATTCCTCCTGCAAAACAATCAAAAGCAAGCAAAACAGTAGTTACCTTCTATATATTTGAATTGAATTCAGCTCTACATGAAAGTAGATGCTGAGATGTCACAATTAATTTGGACATATGGATCTGTGGTTATGTAATGTAAAATGAGTATTTTTCTGAATATGGTTATGTTCTTCTCCGATCTTAGCAAGAAGAAAAGGCAGTGGATTGACATACACACAACCAGAATTTAAATTTGATGAACAAATAGTTGGATTCACATGATCCAATTTCTCTAGAGCGAATTTCATGTGAAAAGCAGACTGTTGTATAGAAGAGAAATCATACCTTCGAAATTATTTCCCCCTAGGTATAGTCTCTTGAGCATGGTCAGCTCGCTGATTGCTCTTGGTATTCATTCTACCATCGAATTGATTGTAGGATATTGACAAATATTGAAGGGCCTTGCACTTGTGTAAATTGGATGGAATTCTTCGGGAGAGTTGATCCAGTGAGATACAGAGGGAATTAAGTTTAGGAAGATTGTTGCATATATCAGCAGGAGGCTGCCATTTAGGCTATTATTTGCGAACTCAAGTACTCGCAAGGATATTGAAGATGGCATATGGTATAGTTCCTGCAAGCTGGTTAAACTTCATGTATTATGATTCGAGACTGGTGAGGTTCCCAATCTCTTCCGGGATGGTACCTGTTGAAGAAGAAATTTAAATAACGATATGTGTTCTCAATATGGAAACTTAAGCATAAAACAAGGTGGTTCAACATTGTATCAGAGCACTCAAAGGTCTGTAGTGGAGTATGTTTTGGTAGTAAAAACACTTGAAATTTAGGCTAAATAATTTATTACATAATTAATCCCTATTACTAAACAAATATTAACTCCCAATTAACATGTTTCACCACCATCCATTTTTAAAAATTGTGCACATGTTACGATTCTCACATAAAGTGAGAGGACACGTTGAAGACTAAATTTAAATAACTAACGTGACCCTTCTTTAAGAGTTTGGGTCTTTAGATAAGGTGGTTTTTACAGTACCTGTAAAGCGATTATAACTCAAAATGAGGAGCTCGAGCTTGGTTAAGTTTCCAAACCAAGGTGGCACGTTTCCAGTGAAATAGTTGGATGCCAAATTTATCTCCTTATCTATGCAAACTGGCCAAGTCATCAGGTATGGCATCCTGGAAGTGGTTGAAGCTGATATCTATAGAACGGAGAAACGTCAAATATCCAAGATATGGAGCAATGGTGCCTTCGAGTTCAAACTTAGACAAATTCAAGGCTGTTACCCTCTGGTGTTTGACACCAAAAGAGATGCCAATCCAGTCGCTAACAGAAGCATCAGTAGACCAATTCATCGCCAATATGTTTTGAGGGTCAGAAGTGATTCTTTATTTGAAGGCAATAAGTGCTTCTTGATCTGTGTTTAAGTTCAGAACTATCTGAGCAGTGCAGTTAACTACCAGCACTGCAACAGCGATGAGTAAGCAAAATTTCTCCAAGAATTGTGTGTAACAGAAATTTAGAAGTTATATACAGAAATATTAATGAGGAAAATGGAAATTTTCTATTGACTCGTCCCCGACTAGGTGTCTTTTGGACTCTTTACCTGGCCGCCACCTGTTGAAGCCAGATAGCCTTCATTTTATTTATTTTATTTTTTGACTTAGATACCCAAGCTTCACCCAACTAATCCCGAGGAATGACGGCCTTCCCCCCTGATTCGTCAACCCAGTAAATCGGATGCGGTTATAATTTATACACACTTGGGCCGGACATTTGGGAAGTGGTTTTCCTCCATGTGGACCCCCTTTTACGACTTGTGGACGAGACTCCCGGAGGGTTGATAAAGCTCACCCATGACTTTGTCTTCACAGGACATTTGCTTTCCAACATAAATGTTGCTTTCCAGTTATCGTGGGGATTCGAACCTCCGATACTCCGTAAAGAATCCTTCTACTTTACCACGCTATGCTCGTGGGGGCCAGCTAGCCCTCATGTTGGTTGGGGGGAAGAGGCTCTTTTATTAGGAAGGTTACATATGAATTAAATATCAAAATCTGCTTTATTGAAATGTATTGAACCATTAAATGCTTTTGTCTACCTACGGCTGCAACTAACTTCAACTTCTGGTCATGTTTATCACTTATAACCCAGAGAAAACTCAAAAAGAAAAGATGATTGTATTTTGTGGGGAAAAAATCCATCATATTCTGTGGTGCTATCGTCAAAAATGGACAAATTTGAGCTCAGTACTAGACACTAGAATGAGCAGAACTTAGCTTATTTTTTGGTACTTAATAGCGTTCAACATTGTATTTTATATCTAGCCAACCAAGTCCCCACGTACTAAAATTCAAGTAATGTGAGTTCAGGATTACTTATTTCATAGCCAAAGATTATTGAGTAGAAAATTCTTAACATAGAAGCAGGAGGCTGGATTCTACAAGGTAGTTCTCACTATAAAGCTTTAGAATTGGAAGCTTCAGTTTGCCCTAACATCAAACAGAATAATTTTGCAGGTAACTGACATTGAGTATTTCGTCGTAAGCTGAGGTGATTAGTTACGAACCAAAAACATTGACGAGAAATCACCCTTAAAGCCCATTTGTAAAGAGATGGTGCCTAATTGGTTATAAACCAATGAACTAACCCTTATATGTCTAGCTATGTTGGATATAGTTAGGATCGTTACATTCCACTCCTCTTTTCAGAACCAATGTCCATAGAAGCCATATTCCTAGCTAGGTGACCTTCATGGACTGGACTTTGGCTGAAAATAGCGTTTGGCGTGTCCTCCCTTGTGTAAATAGGGTCATCCCCCATAAGGGTGCTTGCAATAACTATATATATGGTGTAGATTCAGTAGAACATCACTTTAAAACAGACTTATAAGGAGAGGGTTCCTAATTGATTAATCGTACAACTAGCGAATGTGGAAAACAATTAGGGTCATTACAAGTTGCCACTCTCCCCTCTCTCTTTCATTTATTATCAAATTGAGTGTCATTGAGGGGAAATATCTTATGGGAAGTTTTAATTTTCGAAGTAAAAATGTTACGTTTTGCTGAAAGTAACTTACTTTTAATTATGATTAATAGGAATATTTACTTATCTTTAAAATTTTCTTATTCAGCCAAAATACTATTTAAAATTTAAAAGAAAAATGTTAATCAATTTAGTATACATGTTCACCAATGGATATGCTAACTGACAATCCGTAGGTAAATTTAGTACATTGGTTAACTTCTGTTGGTAAAAATGTGTTGAAATTATTTTTATTTGTAAATCGATTTATATCACCTATGTAAAGTCCTCGGTGAACGATGCACATATGAGCCAACAACATCAGGCATGGACTTGTCCATTGACGAAAGGAAGTCGCTTTTTCTAACAGATAAGTTGCAGCTGATTACCGTAGGTGGAAGGCTATCACCTTTGCAAATGGAGAATTCGTTGCTAATCAACATCGGATTCGCGGTGCATAGGACTGGATTACTGGAAGCTAGCATTCATTCATCAATGTAGGAAATTTTCTGTCAACTGGACTAGCCTGATTAGAGCAAAGCCTTTATTGGAATGGATAGATGGGATAGAATCACGGTGCATGCCCAATTCAAACTGCTCGACCAAGATCATTTCTATCTCCTATTTCAAAGTAGCATTACGGCTTATCACTTCTCTACATCACTCAATCGGAATATTAAGCTTGAATCTATCTCTTACTCTTCAAATATTTTCCAAGTGTTTTTGAAGTAGAAGGGTTAATGGGATGCTGACTGATATAAGCTATTCTAATGGTCTCTACTCTCTTGAAGTTTTGCAAGTTAAACTAATCGACATAAGCTTTCTCTAAGCAACAAGTAATGATGTGGTTGTGGTTAAGTGCTCAAAATATTCATAGAATCGCACATGGGACAAGATATTGAAACAAGAACAACACGTACTTTGGCTACAATCTTCCATTTCCAAGAAATAAAATTTGTGAGAAGTCAATTTTCATCTACTTAAACCGACTAGGTTAAGACATGAAAATAACAACTAAAAAATTTTAAAACATGGAGAAAGTTAAAAAACTACTTGTTTTTGTGTGCGCATAATTCATGGCTCAAGTAAAAAGCTAGTGGTGACGCCTTCTCGTGCTTGCTAGAAATGTGGCTTTGATCTTCTGGAGTTTAGCCAAAATTTCTTTCATGTCGATCCTTTCTTCAGGTGAATTGGCGGAACATTCCATTGCCAAACCAAAAATATATGCGACACATAGCTCCTTTGCAAAGAAATTCTCATCTGCTCTTTCAAGTAGACCGGGGGCCAAAACTTCAATTATCGAGTTTTCTTGTATTGCTTCGCTCACCCATTGCTTTAAGCTCATTTCTTCACCGAACATTTCATCTGTCGGTTTCTTCCTTGTAAATGTCTCTAGCAACATTATGCCATAGCTGTAGACATCGCTACTTGTAGAGACTTTCCCTTCCGATCCGTACTCTATTGGCATTAGACATTTAACTTTGGACCAGTTGATAAACGATTTTGAGAATAACCAAAAACAAAAAAAATTGTAAATTGAGGAAACTGGACATTACCTGGTGCCATATACCCGATTGTACCAAGGGTGATGGTTAGAAAATCAGCCTCCTCTTCACCAAAGAGTTTGGCGATACCGAAATCACCAACATGTGCAGTCATATCTTCATCGAATAGGACATTGCTTGGCTTTAAATCACAATGAACAATAGGCTTTTCCTGACTATGATGAAGATATTCTAAAGCTAATGCGACGTCGATTGCTATATTTAATCTTTGAAGCAATTCCAAACAATAGTTGTGGGAATATAACCATTTCTCCAGACTTCCATTAGACATGTACTCTAGTATCAAGGCTTTGAAATCTGTGTTGCTGCAGCAACTGACGACTTTAACCAAATTCCGATGACGAATGGTGCTCATGACGTCACACTCGACTTCAAAACTCTTGATTGCTCGTTCCAATTGCACATTAAAAACTTTTACTGCAACAACTAACCCATCAGATAGTGTCCCTTTAAATACCGAACCAAAACTTCCACTTCCAAGCACATTGGTTTCGCTGAAGTCATCGGTTGCTTGCAGAAGTTCTTGATAAGAAACCCTTCTCCATTCTACACCTAATGAAATCTCAGTGTGAGGTGGTTTCTTGGTCAACTTTTGCCTAATCATCAAGAAAATAACAGCTGCCCCAAGGATCATTGATATGATTGGTGCCACGACATATTTCAATAACCGAAAAACATTCTTTGTTCTCGATCTTTGAATTGTCTGAGATTTGCATAGTGGAATTTGCAGTCGATCTGCACCACATAATCCATCATTCTGCATGAATGATTGAGCAGTAAAGTTCAAGAAACGTCCCCCTGTTGGAATTTCTCCTTGTAGTCTGTTGTGAGACACGTCAAAATACTCGAGATCGCTGAGTGCCTCTAAAGACTTCGGGATTGATCCCGAAAAATTATTATGAGAAAGATCTAAATATTCCAAGCCTCTTAAGTCTCCCAAAGATTGAGGGATGGGACCCTGAAACTTATTGTGTGCCAAGGATAGATTAACTACAGACTGAATGCTGCCAATAGAGCTTGGGATTTCACCTGAAAACTGATTCCATGATAAGTCTAGATGTCTGATGGCCTTCAAATTTTGAATATCTGATGGTATATATCCACTTAACATGTTTGAGGATAAGTTTAGACCCCAAATATCACTCAGGCTCCAGAAGTTTGGTAACGTGGAAGAGAATCTGTTAGACTGTAAGAAGACTCTTCTCAATGATTTTAGCTTTCCCAAGCATGCTGGTATTGTTCCATTGAGCATGTTCTCATTTAAATACAAGTCCCCCAATCTGCTTAACTGGCACAGGTCAGGAGGAATATGCCCTTCGAGTCTATTATGCTCAAGATATATTGCTTCGAGGTTTAATTTCCCCAGTGTCGATGGAATAAATCCCGTTAGCTTATTATTATCTAAATCTATGGATCCCAAGCTGCTTAAGTTTCCAATTTCACTAGGAATAAGACCCTTGATGTTACACCCAAATGCTCTGAACATACGAAGAGAAGAGGAAAAATTACCAATCGAAGCTGGGAGGATACCATTAAACTGATTCTCTGATACTTCCACTATCTCTAAATATCTGCAATTTGTCAAGGAAGAAACAAATTCCAATTCTTTATTAGGAGACTCTTCTGTCAAATTATTTCCTCCAATCATAAGTCGCTGCAGGAGTTGTAAATTACTAAGATCTGGTATAGGGCCAGTTAACGAGTTCTCGTTCATGGATATGACAGTAAGCTTAGAAGCATTGGCAATCGAGCTTGGAATAACTCCTCGGAGGTGGTTTTGACGTAAATAAAGTTTTTGAAGATTTGGAAGTGAAAGTCCAACATTTGATGGAAGTTGGCCCACAAAGTGATTGCAAGAAAGATCCATCATTGTCATTGTTGAGATATTGAAGATAGAAGGTGGGATGGAGCCAAATAATTTATTTTCATGGAGATTGATTTCCACAAGATTTAGGTTACCAAGCTCATCTGGTAATTCACCTGGAAAATGTAAATTTGATGGCATTATCCCTAAAACTGTACTTCTTCCAAAATGTCATGTATGAGGCTAATAATGTAGAAGTAAGTTTTATAAGTACCTGTCAGGTTGTTGTTGTTTAAATAGAGATATTCGAGCGAAGTTAGATTTCCAACTTGCTTAGGAATGCTGCCTGTGAAGTGGTTATTTGCCAAATTTAAGACCCAAAGCCTTTCACATTTCATTATGCTGGAAAAGATTTGACCAGTGAGTCGATTGGACTGAAGAGAAAGCTGCTCAAGATTGGGGAGACCGTAATGAAGGTCCCGTGGGAGGCTTCCGGAGAGTGAACTGTTAGCAAAGTCAATCAGTTTCAGCGAAGACATGTTGAAGACGAAGGACGGAATTTCTTGTGTTATAGAACAATCTTTTATGTTTAATGTCTCTAAACGGGTAAGATTGCCTATCTCCACTGGAATTCCTCCTGAATGCAGTCAAAAGCAAGAAGAACAGTCATTATGTGCTATATGCTTGAATGGAATTGAAAAGCTGACTGTTATATAAAGAAAAATCATACCTTCAAAATTGTTTCCCCCGAGGTATAATCTCTTGAGCATGGCAAGCTCGCCAATTTCTCGTGGTATTCGACCTTCGAATTCATTGTAAGATAGTGATAAATTCTGAAGGGCCTTGCACTTGTACAAGTTTGATGGAATTTTTCCGAAGAGTTGATTCAGAGAGAGAGAGAGATTTTCAAGTTTAGGTAGATTGTCGCATATATATGCAGGAAGGCTACCGTGCAGGCTATTATTTGTGAACTCAACTATTTTCAAGGACGATATATTGAAGATTCCGTGTGGTATAGTTCCTGTAAGCTGGTTAAACTTCAAGCATAATGATTCCAGACTGGTAAGATTACCAATCTCTTCCGGGATGGTACCTGTTGAAGATGAAATATATAATCAATAGCATGTTTGTGCTTAAAAGCTATTTTATTTTAGAAAGTAAATCTTGCAAGTAAACAAAGTAACCTTGAAAACTATGTTTGACAAAATAATTAACCTAAATACTTTTAGGCACACTCGAAATATGTAACATAGATCCCTAACAATTAAAAATTGTTAGACTTTTAGATTATGAGATATTTCAACGTCATATAAGAGCAAGCAAAGGTCTAGATCATATCTCACTTCCAACCATTTATAGAGTTGTGCATGTATCAGGTTTTTGATAAAAATAAATAAATGGATATGCTCTGCACGAGAGGGAGCGTGCTGAAAATTTAAAGAACTAAACGTGTCTCTACCTAAATTTTAGATGAGATGGTTCAACAGTACCTGTAAAACTATTATAATTCAGAAGCAGGTGCTCAAGCTCTCGTAAGGTTCCAAACCAAGACGGCACGCTTCCATCAAAATTGTTCGACGCCAAATTTACCTTTTTTAATCTACGCAGACCTGCCAATTCATCCGGTATGGTGCCCCGGAAATGGTTGAGGCTAAAGTCTATCGAACTAAGAAATGTCAAATTTCCGAGATGCGGAGCAATGGTGCCCTTGAGTTCAAAGTTAGACAGACTCAAGGCCGTCACCCTTTGGTTGTCGACTCCACAAGAGACACCAATCCAGTTACAAACAGAAGCGTCAGCAGACCAATTCTTGGCTAATATGTTCCGAGGATCAGAAGTGATTCTGGATTTGAAGGCAAGAAGTGCTTCTTGATCATCTGTGTTCAAGTTCAGAACTATCTGTGCAGTGCAGTTTACTGCCAGAATCGCAACAACAATGAGTAAGCAAGATTTCTCCATGAATTGTGAGGAAATATGGACTTTGGAAGCAATACATAATAAATTAGACATATCAATGCTGAAAATTGCATATGAATTAAATATCAAGTCCTGCATTATTGAAATTTAATGAGCCATTAAATGCTTGTCTTCCAGCAATTTGAATAGACCACCGAAGATGACCAAAAAACTGAATGACCGAGAAGTGGCCGCCCATGCTGACACATTTGATACGTCGTATCAGACATTACAATGAACAAGATTTTAACTTTTTTTATTTAGCCTCTGTTTGGTAGAGTTTTTTTGAGAAATAAATTTTGTCAAAAGTGATTTTTTAGAGAACGTGTGGTTAAAAAGTAGCAAAAAGTTTTGAGTTTTACATGCAAAACTATTTTATTGGGAGAAATTGTAGCTGAAAATAAGTATGGGACAAATGAGTTTTAGAAAATGAGAGACAATAATAACTATTCAATGTAAGTCTACTGTAATCTAAATTATGTGTACATATGTGTAATGCACGTATTATTAGGTACCAATAAGTGTAGTTTCTACACTTATTCAGAGCACTAAATGATAATATTTTGTTATTTTTTGGATGAATTAGTTCATAATTTTTCATTTATTGCTTTTATTAAGAAAAATCATGTTTGGACGAAGAACTGGAAGAAAGAACGGAAAAAAGGCTAAAATGAAGCAAATTCAAAGTTTGGGGACTAAAGTGCAAATATTTAAAAGTTGTGTCGGACCTCACGATGAAGATTCGAGAGTGATAGGGGTCAACTGGACGAGGAAAGAAGTCAAATGGATGAAATATAGTCAAATTGTTATCAAGCATCAATTTTCAGCCAAAAAAGTTATGCTTCAAATTTTCAGTCCTAGATTATAACCCGCCAAAAGTAAAAGTTTGAATTTGAGAAATGGTATTTCTGAAATAATTGTTTCCTTTTGAATTATATTTTCAACGCATTTTGAATCCCTTCAATCGAATATAAGAGAGAAAGTTATGATAAAAATATTGAAAATTGCTTTGTTAACCAAAAAAGGGGAGCCTCAAACAAGCTAGGCGTGCGCCTTAGTGTAAAAATGAGAAAAATCCAATTTTCCTTATTTTTGTTCTGATAACAAATGAATGTAATCTTGCATCATTTAAATACCAAAACTCGACCGGAACGAGAGACCCCCCGAGACCTAAAATTCATATATTCTACATATTTTGGAGGCGAAGAACGAGGTCAATTCATCAGTAAAAAGCAAATTATACAAGTTCATTGAAGATGCCACTTTTCTTGGTTTAATAGCGATTTTATTTGTATATATGAATTACTGGAAAAAATAAATATTTGCACTCGTGTATGTCTCTGAAAGTAGAGTTCTTTTTGAATTTCTTTAGCTTTTTTTGATATGGGTTTTGTTAATTGCGATTGCTTGATTTGGTTGGAACTTAAGGGAATTGAACCATTGACGACAAGTTTATGATTTCCACAGGTGTTGAGAATCAAACTGATTGATTGAACAATTGGTATTGAGTATCAAACTGATAGTGGAGCTTATTTTAACTAGATGTTATGTCAAAAATTGGAGGAATTGGGACTTTGTGTATTAGTAATTAAGTGTGTTCATCTAATTATGCCACTTTGAGTAAAGCAAGAGCTAGAAGAACTCGTTGATTATCTCAAGATAGTCATCTGGAAGTTTCTGTCCTCATCAAATTGTTTGTATCAAAAGCAAGTATTGGGTTATGAATTTGAACTCTACACATGTATCACTTACTTGCTAAAGATTCGTTCGGGTTTTAAATGTACAATTACGGAGTCTTGTGATTATTGGTAATTAAACTAATTCGTGTAAGAAATTTCATCTTTTAGGATTCAGGGCTTAAGTTATATTATTATGTGGGGTCATCCCATGTTGGGACATGATAGGTTGTTTAGACTAATGAGCCGAGGGATGTCATAGACACTTTGCAAGATATAATGATGTCCGAGTGTTGTTGGTGCAGATTATAGTTTGTACCAATGCTCGTCTTTCGCCATAAAGGTTCATTCTTTTGTTCATTTTATTAATTTTATTGCCCTTCTTTTCGGGTTGATTCCTTTTGCAAAAACTTTTGGTAGTTTTACTTCACTTGTTGCTCAACTTTCTACCTAAGATGGTAAAAGTATGTAAATTTCTCGTGTTCCTACAACAAATCTGCAGTGAGGTTATTGTACTTGGTCGTTGACAGTAAACCTCGTGCATCTTTGAGGTTTCTAAACTGATTTGCTGCTAAACTTTGTCTTTCCAAGTTGCTAAAATACTTTCCATGACTACATGGTTTAGCCTAAGATATGTTGGCTATTTCTAGTCGACTGCTACTCTAACTTCATGCACAAGTCTGTATTTCTAGAAGCCTCGCTTCGATAGTCCTCATTCAATTCTATATTTTCCTTTTCTTATCTTAAGCCTCTCAAACTTTGCATAAATGTTTTAGGAGTATTTTAAATGCTTAACTGGTATGTAAGACTCAAACTGGGTGGGTTAATAGTATTGCTTAAATATCATTGTCATTTTCTTCATTCCTCATTATTCTTCATTTAAGATCTCTGAAGTATAATTCCATGCTCAGCCAAAATGTGTATAAATTGTTCATCCAATAAGCCCATAATTTTTTTAGTAATCGATATCATATTGTGCATATTATGTCAATAGAGAAACCTTAATCTTTCGGAACTATTAAAAGGGATGCATATTTGCTGGAGAAGAATTATATAGTTCTTTCTTATTATGCTTTGCATATCTTAACTTGTTCAAAAACCTTCACGCTGCTAGATTTCTTAGTCACGTACTGTTTCAAGATACTTCTGCTAGATATCATCCCCTAAGTGCTTGTGTTTTCTAAATATCATAATAAATATTTGTTAAGAATGGCCGATTTACATGGATTGCCGTTTTAATTTGGAAACTTGCCAGGATTATGTTATTTTATGCTTGATTCCTTTTGCAAAAATCTAAAAGAAAATGCTATAGATACTTACCCAAATATATAAAATTGCAGTGACTCTTGAGAAGCATAAGGTACTAAACGGGAAGAGAAGTGGGTGATTTTAGAGTTTAGGGGGCAGGAGAGAAGCTATAATTATCTTGGAATCAAAGATGCAGTTGTTTACATGATATCACGACAAGGCAAGAGAGAAGTAGAGATCTGTCTGAGAAGTTATCTAGTTGTCTTGAAGAAAAGATGCAGAGGAAGTTGTTTACATGAGGAAAAAAATGAACTAGGAATCTAAAGCAAGTTAGAAGCGCATTAGGGATGATAAGCAAAGAGTTACGGTTTTTGGCAATGCAATTCTTTCTAGTTGTATAATTTCTAAGTCTCGATAGGAGCTGGTATGCTCTTTGTAATTCTATTTTGTACGAGGGTATTATCCATGAATAAAAATCTTTACAAGCTACAATTGCTTTTTGTTTCTAATTTGTTTTTCTCATTTCACTATCACACATGCAGACATGCAGGTGCACGAAATGCATGTTCATATTCTTGTTTGATTGAGGGTTGAATTGGAGGATTTGGGATCTTATGGGCACTATATGTCATCTATTCAATCAAAGAGTATAGGAGAAATAGAGAATCACTCATTGTCTGGTGTCAGAAATTCAATACATATTTGTGCAATTTATGGGCTGAGGCCCTATCTAAGCATTCTCTTTTTTGTATTCTTGATTCACACATGAAAACTTTTGATTCTTAATCACCGTATTTTCAGTTAATATGCTGCAAAATGAAGAGGTCTTTTCGCTGCAGATTCTGTGAAATATTTGCATTCTTCCTTATGGACCAAGCCTGGCACTTTGGTACATTGGCAAGAGTTACATTGATCAATGCGACAGACAGCCTGAAGTGCCTATCGAAATGAACACCAAATTCAGGATAATACAGACGAGCCAATCACTTTACAACAGGAGATCATATTCAAACATGTCAATTAAGATCTTGGCACGTATCTGCCAAACCACGTTCTTCTTGAAAGTTGATATTGTGATGCATTCTATTTTCTTACGTGTTCATCATGTTTTGCCACTCCATTTAGTGGGTCTAGAATCAGAATTCACTCATGCAGCCCAACGTGCTAATTCTGGTTTCTTAATAGCAAGATTAATGATGTTTTCACAATTTTTTCAATACATATGATAAAATTATCTAAGATCTTGATACCTTTGAACTTAGACGTACGTAACCATGATGCTTGTCCTTAATGTAGTTAATCAGTTGCTCTTGAGATTTTCTTGTTAGACTCAATGGATTAATTAAGATTTTTGAGTTTGATACGTGACAATTGATGTGCTTGTAGTGAATTATGTCTGCTGTTGGATGCTTAACTCCCATTGTCCTCGGGGGCTTGCTGGATTGGATTTTGTTATTACTTATTGCTAATGAGAGATTATAAATAATGATTAGTTACCAGATCCTGCTTATATCTTATTCTGGTAGCAAATTTTTTATTATTCAGATGACCAGATACGATGGTTGAATAGAAAGTCTTCTACCGGGTTGGTTGGAAAAAAAAAATGTTGCCAAAACAACCAGCAACAGGGATTTTTGTAGTTATTTGACATATTCTTGATTGTAATTATTTTGAGTCTATGAGTATGCATTTTACTAATCATTTTTATTAAGTAATCGCCCCTTTAAGGCGGGCAACGCATGGATTTTTGCAAGGGACAAAAAGCATGAAATCCAATTACATGGTGAGAAAAGTACTCAAGAACTTTTTTATACCATAATATTATATTGCCTGCTACAGTTCATCCATCCCAAAAGGGGGAAGAAAATGGAACAAGAGAATGAAATCATCATCTTGAAATTAGCGTGTTTGAGTGAATATGAGTATGCTGAACTTGCTTCCAAACTGAGTTGCGTTGGCTCAAATGAACTTGTGTACATCTCTTCTCTACCATGAGAAATTGTTCAATGGAATGGTCTTATATGCACGTGGTAAGATCGTCTATTTAGATCATTTTGAACACCGAATATAATAGAGTGGGTGAATGGACAAATTATTTTTCTCTCTCTTAACTAGTCTCGGATTATTTTAGATCTGTCGAGCCTACTTCAAAATCAACTCAACATGGCTCAAGTTACACCTCTATACTACCATTTGGAGGGAGAGTAAAGCCAGACTCTAAAACACTCAGATGTATACAGCAAGAATGACTTGTAAAATATTGGAAAACAAACCAATAGATAAATGAATTAATACTTCTGCAGCTTGTTTTTGTCAAGATCCTTTTTACTATGCTTTGCTTTATCTTTTTTGCTGGCAATTGATTTCTTTGAACTATGATTATATGAAAAACACCTTGTTTTGCTGCACAAATTTTTTCCCTTCAAAAATTTCCTCTCTGGGTTCTTGAAAGGAACACATTTGCACTGTGCAGTAAAAAAAAAAAAAAAAATGTTTCTTCCTCCCTTCAACAATTTCGTCAAAAAAATCATCAAGTTGTCCAATGATATTCTCAGTTCCAGCCCTTAAAATCCCAAAACAACCCTTCAAATTTTCAGCTCTTTCTTTAATTCCAACTTCTGATTCCCATTCTACCATTCCTTGTGAACATCTCTCAAGTTCTCCCCTCAGTTCATCCATGGCTACTTTTGATCTTCTAAATTCATACAGAAGAATCCCGGGCCGACCCGAAATCTGATTGATCTCAGATGCCACCCTTTGTTGCAATCTTGCAGTTGAGATCATGAAGGCTGATCCAAAGAACAAGCACCCTTCATATCCCCCATTGGAAAACTTTGATTCGGGCCAGCAGTAAACCAATCCATAAAGTAATATCATCAGCAAAAGTGAACTAACATTTCTCATTGCATAAAGAACTCCTCTGAATCCATTGAATCCATTGAGTTTTGATTCTACAGAAACCTTCTCATCAAACCTTAATGAAAGTGGCTCAATTCTTGTCTCCATCAGGGACCTGTTTTCCTCCTCTAATCCCACAGCATCTCTTCGACAGCCCGAAATAACCCGAATAACCTTTTTTTTCAAGAATATCAACATAAAAACATAAGATTCAAGAAAATTAAATACAAAATTTCTGTGGGTTTTAGTTTTTTTTTTTTTTTTTTACCTGACGTAAAAGCTGTGGGCTTAAATTGCCATGGCTATCTATAGAGGAAGTTATACTGATCCCAGTGGAAAAGTAATTCTCCATGCCTGAAATCCCAGTTTTAAGAACATGACAAACTTCCCAAAGTTTTGAACTTTCATCCATGTATTCATCAAGCCATTTTTCACCCACTGGCAATCTGAGTTTTTGAACAAGAAGGGTCAACTGAGTATGAAAGGATCTTAGGAGGGATAAAACACTTTGAAGAAACTGAATTGACATAAAGTTGTTAGTCAAAAACACACGTTCAAGATCATCAATTTCTCTAGTCAAGTAATTATAGAACCCATTGACAGAGTTGGTAGAGAAGGGATCCATCATAAGGACGGAAAACAGGAGGAAAAGTAAAAGTTGAAGAAGAAGGGGGAGGAAAGAAGTTGTGAAGAGGGTTGTATTTAAATTGTGGGAGGAAGTAAAAGGGGAATGAATCGTGGAAATGGAAGATGGGAATATCAATCTTGGAAGCTCAAGTTTCCAAGGTTGAAAAGGATCGTTGGCAGCAATGATGAGTGTTTCCTACGGAGGGGAAAGGATAATTGGTAATCTTATTTCATTGTTTAATGGGCAGAAAGGAAATGAAAAGGGAATTGGAAAGGAAGAGGAAAAGGAAAAGGAAAAGTAAGAAAAAAACAAAAGGAACTACCTCCCACTCTACCCCAACATAACACAGACACAGTGCTAAAGGGAGAGTTTGTGAGAGTGAAAGCAGGCAAATTTGAGGACATGAAACTCTCATGAACTCTCTGCCAATTTCCTGCTTTTTTCTGCTCTTTTCCTTTCAAGAAAGTATTCGTATAATACTAGAAAAGAAAAGAGAAGTGGGTGAGATAGGAAGGGGGTGGGGATTGGTTGTTTTTAATATCTTGTTCTGCAAATTTATTTGCGATATTAGATTGAGATCATTGAGTTGTAACAAGGTTTGACAGGATTGATTAAGTTGGGGTAATCAAATCTAGATTGTCATTCGGATAGTATTAGACAATATTTAAAAAAATAAAAATCTTATCTATTTTGGATGGGGATGAAGTGTTTCAAAATCTTGATTTGAAATGTCTTTGTGATGGTAGTTTGAGATCAATGGGTTGTAATAAGGTTTAATGAGTTGACTATGATGGGGTAACAAGAATTGGATGGGTACTTTACAGTATCAGATGATATTGAAGAAGGAAAATAAGTTAAAATCTTGTATGTTATACAGTTAGAATTGTGGTCAATACAATACACTAAACATATCGGGTACAAAAAAATGGCAAGAATTGAAGATTTGTCTTTTTGATTGTAGTGATATTTGACTACTTGTTTCCTCATTTTCTTCCTCGAGCAACTGAATTTTACTCATTTACGTCCCCTCTATTCTATTGAAATTTGTGGGGTTTGTTTTCTCTTAATTCTCTTTTGTTTTGTTCTTTTATGGGATTTGAAATAATGGGGTTCTTTGTATTCATGTTTTGTTCCTTTCTACTATGCAAAAACTAGTCTTTTTAGGCCACCAAAAAAATCTCAAGTCTGTTTTATTCTTTTTTTTTTTTTTGATGATCCACTTGTAATATTTTTTGTAGTAAAATGTATGATGCTCCCATTGACCTTACAATGAACACTCCCACATGATATTTGAAGTATAGTGACCCTATGGAGTATGGACACATCAATCATCTTTTGGGCTCTCATTCCCTTATTGCTTTTCAAAGTTTCTTACTTATATTTGAGTTGCCATTTCCTAGTTATTACTTTCTTGCTCTTTTTCATCTCAAGCAAAATTATGACAAGTTCTTTCTACCTACACAAGAATGAACACAATAATAGAATGTATAATCATTACGTTCAAGAAACATAAAGGAAAACTATCTTATATATAGATTCACGTATAACTACGAAAGAAAGATTCTTTATTAATTATTTAGTCTTATAAAAATAACTTTGCTAAACAAAAAATAGCACGTAAATGATTTTATATTTCTAACTATAACTCATATAATATTGTACATTGACACACTAAGCTTAGGTAGTGATCGTGAAGGGATTATGAAAGTAACCATATTCGAAGGAGATATATGTAATTAGAGTTACATGTTGTAAGTTGTAACACAAAAAGGAAAGAAAAAATGTCGATAAGTTTCATTCATATTGCATCACGTTGAGATGATAAATAAATCATTTACATGAGCACATAAATAAGTCATTTACAGCGGGATTCTTTTTTATAAAAGAAACACAAAAGGAAAATATTTTATTTGTAGAAACACATATAAATACAATTCTATACTAATTAATAATGATATAATCAACTTAATATAGGCCCTTGTTTGACACATATTTTTTAAAAATATATTCTTTCAAAATTCATTTCCAAACACACATTTTTCAATAAAATAATTTTTTTTTTGTCACGCCAATAACTTTTTCTTACTTTTTAACGACATATTTCACATCATACTACTATTTAAAATACATTATTTTCTCAATAATATTCATCAAACCCACCCAGAAATAAGTTTTGAAAATAAAGAACAATGACGACTAATATATTGTACATTAACACATTAGGAGCCCGTTTGGTACACATTAAAATGTGAGAATACATTTTTTTTGAAGCGATGATATGGATAATATGTAGTTGAAAAAGAAGGAAAAGTTATTGATGTGATGGAAAATATTATTTTATTGAAAAATGTGTGGTTAAAAATAAGAAGAAGAGGCCTTGCTTTTCTAGCTCTCTTTAGAGCAAATAAAAATCTCAAAATACCTTCGTTATATTTTTTTCAAGAACGTGAGGTTGAAATTGAGTTAAAAAAAAAAAAGTTTTGGAAAAAAATAGAACTCAAACGTAGGCTCAGTTAAGATCTAGACTATAATTTATGATTTTGAAAATGTGGGTCATTTTCATAGTTACATAGTTAGCACTTAGCATAATTTAATTATAAAAATTTAATTTCCACTATTTAACATTAATTACCATCTAAATACTTTTATCCATTTAAATATTTTTTGGGTGCTTGCAAATTAGGGCCCTCCACTTAAGAAATTATAATTTATACAACCCTAATCACTATCACTTACCCTCCACATTTATTTTTGATTAGACAAGTTTAATGATTATAAATGTAAATTATGAGATTCTTAATCTTAACTATTTTGTTGAATTAAGGTGAAAAATTCCATTTCATATTAAAGTTATTAAAACAAATTGAGTTGGGTGGACAAAACATGTTTAAAGTTTTGATCTTGATTTGACTGAATTATCAAACATCATAATTAATTATCATTCATGAAATTACACTACTCTGGTTAAATTTGTTGGTTTTCATAGTGATACAAGAAGAAAACGTCAAAAAAGTTATAGTACGCAAATGTGATTTGAATAGAACAAGTTAAAAGATACATAATACACCAGAATTAATGTCGGTGCGATCCTCGAATGTGTCGTTTCATTAGTTGTTAAATAGATGTAGCCATAAATTGAATGTAATAAAAAAGGAAAATAAATTTACATAGTAGATCTTAAATTATTAGGATTAAGGTTTAGTTTGTTAGTTTATTTTTTAACACTTTGGATATGTTTTTTTTTCTTTTTTTCTTGGTGGGTTCTTGTTTTAACTTATTTAAAATTGGTAGGTTTTGCTTTCCATATGATTTACAAGAATGGAAATGTGTTCAAAAATTGTGACAAGCGTACATCGACCGAGTAAATTATAACTACACATTTCTTGTACGTGTAGTAATGAAGATTAGACAATAGTGACAACTGGCATTTACAAACTTAAGAATGCACGTAAAAGGTATCGAGACAATTCTACATGTACAGTTCACAAGGAGGATTTGCACCGTCTAGTCTCGTCCGGTATTAGGACCCCCATCTCTTTCTATTACATGCTCCATAAATACTATCTACAAGAATGTCTCATTGTCTTCTTAATGAAACCATAGATGGATCCAACTGTATGGTCCATATATATCCTCTCAACAATGAAACCATTCTCTTAGTGAGCATCTGGAATGAATAATCTGAAAATAACATCTCATTAATAATTTCAAGAAAAAGAAAAATTGTGTAATTAATTTTTTAAACAATTAGTTAATTTGAATATTCATATCAATATGGCAAGTTGCTTTACCTATATAAATTAATTGTCAATAGACTGCGTTTTTTTGGGACCACTGTCACATTCAATTTTCTCTACATTATAATCATGATAAAGGAACCATTTTATTTGTATTATATTACATTAAATTAGAATTGATATTTAATTTGAAGAATAAGAATTAATAACTCATAAAGTACAAGAATGATTTGATAGTTTGTGTTTTTATAGGTTTCGAAGAGTTTCGTAAAGGGAAAACAAGATGATTTAGGGCTATACTCCCAACCTTTTACGAGTGTAGTCATGGATTCTTAGTCGTCAAAAGTGAAAATATGGGTCCCAAATCCAGATATGTAAAAAATAGATCCACAATGACAAAAATCGTCAGTATAGATATTAAAATTGCACAAGGCTTTTATGTGACTTAAAGTTGCATGGAAAAATCGTGAAATTGCTTAATATTTTCCTTCATATCAACTGAAAGTTGTAGGTCTATTCAAGAAAGTCGCCCTCGATCTCTGTAATGCATGAAATCAAGAAAGGGTAAGAGTTAATAGAGAAAACAAAAATTTAGCTCTCGTACCCTGTTTTCAAATCATATTATTTTTGTTCGTTTTTAATGTCCACAGTGACAGTTTTAATCACGTGTAGATCCAAATTTACAAATTTAAATAATTTGAGTACTTAGAACCTCAATTTTGCAGGACGGGGACCCTTGACTACACTATCGAAAAGATTGAGGAGCAAGACCCTAATTTTTCCAAAATTGTAAAAAAAATAAGGACAAGGAAGAAATTAAAGCAAAATGAGAATATTCGGGTGATTATCTATTTCAGTACTGCTCTCGTCTTAATATGTTGGCTTTTAGAATTAAGAAAATTACACTACGAGTCCCAAACATTTAAAACGGTGAATTATTTTTTGTCGGTTTCAGCAATTTCCGAGGCACGTGTCTAATGAAAAGTTGAGAATTGATTTAAAACTGGGGATTATTGCCATAATTTTCATTAGAATTTTGATAAATTTTGACTGAAGTTGCCAACCTTTTTTTTTTCTCAAAGTGCTTAAGTGCACTAGCTATTGGGCCCTCAAGTGAAGTATCAACTTCCTTTTAGTCAAAATAAAAAGAAAGAAAAAAAAAATCAGAAAAAAGAAATAATAGAATATAGTGGAAGTACGAATATGAATTGCTTATTTACGTTGAGTGTACAAATTTTGTTCTATCCTCTCAAATCAAAATTA